TATTCAAGTCAAAATAATAAGGGCTCTTGGGGAAGGGCCACAGAGTGAATATAAATTAAACATAGGAACATAAAGGGGAACAAAGAAAATATACATTATTAATAGAAGAATTTATTTATAAATTCTCAGGCAAATATAAAAATTTCCTTTCCTCTACCTTTACATTGCATTACACTATGTTCTTAGATGTTTTGCTTATGGGAAAATACCAAAATGTCAGCCACTATTTCTATTAAAGGTCTTTAATGATGCTGCATTTTAGACCTGCAATGAAACATGGCTCACTGCAGTTCGTAACGCATCTCATTAAACACATTAATAACATGCGTTTTACTAAAAGGTCAACTTATTATGGCTAAAGTTTAGCTTTCCTTTAATCATTTCATTTCAAGCTATAGACCAAATTCCAAAAATAAAAAAAATAACTAAAAAAGACAGAATGCCCATTATTGAAATGCTCTCAATTCTCTTACCAGTCAACTTACTAAAAAAAAATATGGCTCATGTTTTTATGTGAAATAATTATATCAAGACTTAAAAAAACTCTTGATATACATGTTAAAATGTGTAGATTAATAAAAATTAGATGGCTGTTAATTGCTTCAAAGTAATCCAGAAAGGGGTGGGGGGTCAGTTGAAGTATAAACGGAATCAAATTGGCAGTGTTAGAGCTGGCGGTATACCTCAATGACAGAGTGCTTGCCTGGCAAGTATCTAGCCCTAGGTTCAATCCCTAACATCATAAACACAAACACAAAAAAGGGGAGTGGGAGTTACCTGCTCAAGCTATAGATGCTACATGGGGGTTCGCTGCACTCTTCTCTCCACTTTCATACACACTGATATGGTCCATAATGAAAAATTTTAAAGAATTCATGCTATTGTCTTGTTCCTCACATGTCATGACCACCATCATAAGGGCCTGGCTCCCAATAATAAAACTGTTGAAAAAGAGGGGCAAAGCTAACCTATCTGGCAAGTAGCTTTGTGAATAGAATATCCCTTAATTTTGTTCCAGTTATACTTCATGACTTATCATATATGCACCCACTAAAATATAAAAAAATACTGTTGAAATCATTTCATGGTTCAAGAGAGATAATTACCAACATATAAATCAAGGTGACTGGGGACTGAATTCATGTGTGGGGGAGGGAGAAAAGAAAGGAGATATTTGTGTACTTTCTAAGAAGTAGACTTAAGGTGCTGAAGGTACAAAGTCCTGATATTCAGGAATTTACTGCACCAGACTTTACTGGCAATAATTAGAGCTATGAGAGTAAATGACAATACAAGGAGAGAATACAGTACAAAATGCTACCAAACGATAGGAATCTCAATATTATGTTTACACTGAGAGGGTAAAAGAAGCCTGATGGAGCCGGCGCGATAGCTCAGTGGTCTAAAGTGCCTGCTTAGGCAAGCTGAGGCAGGCACAAGGGACTACAGTTCAATCCCTGGCACCACATGCCGCACCTGCCCCGCCTTCAGGGAGGGCTGAGCTGGCAAAAAAAAAAAAAAAAAAGAAAGAGAAAGAAAAAAGAACAGAGAAGCCTGAGAAGAGTTCAGAAAGGTAGAAGAATCCAAACAGCATATACAGATCACCAAAGCCAAAGGAAAATATTTTAAAGTAAGATTAAATCATTTAGGTAGGAAAGAACTCAAGTTTGGCAACAAGGAAATACCTGCTTTCCAGTATAAAAGGCTGAAGTTAAATTAAAAATATTAGAAAAGGGGTCGGGGAGAAGGCTCAGTGGAATAAGCACTTCCCTGGCATGTGCAAGGGCCTAAGTTCAATCCCCGGTTCCGCAAAAAAAAAAAAAAAAAAATAGAAAAGACTGTAACTTGGAAGCCACTCTTCCCAGAATAGCTATTTTAAATAATATAATGAATCTGACTTCTAAAAAAAGTTTAAAAATCACTGAATGAGAGAGGAGAAAAGGAAGTCTCCTAGATCATAAGGTAGCAGAGAAGTTGGTTAGTTACACTAGGGCAGTCATGTAGTTGAATACTGCCAAATGCTTCTCGGAAGAAAAAGAGAATAGTATTTACCATTTATGCTGTGATATGTGCCAGACACTGTGCTAATGCTTTATACTGATTATGTCCTTTAATCCTAAGAACCATATTATCCCCATTTTACTGCAAAGTAACTTGCAAAAGGTCACATAGCTAATCCATTGCTGAGATGAAATCTAAACCTAGGCAGTCTGACTTTACCTAAAAGACTAAGCAAATTGAAAAGAGATTTAATTAAAGACAATATACTTCAGCGTTTTTTCTAGGGTAGGTAAAAATTCAGGCTGTGTTCCACAACAGCTATAAAGAACAGTATAAACTGGTTACCCAGAATAATATGGCCATGAAATTATTAAACTTTGCTTACTAAAACAAGGAAGCATACAACGCATTAGCTCATACTACCAAATGAAAGTTCAAACAAATGTTACAGAAATTCTGGTTAGGGCCGGGGAGATGGCTCAGTAGAATAAGCGCTTGCCTTGCAAGTGCAAAGGCCTGAGTTCAATCCCTGGTTCCACCAAAAAAAAAATTCTAGTTATTAGAAAGCTCCCTATTTTCTCAGAATATATTACACCAAACAAACATTTCTTTTTTTCTTCCCTTTCCTCCAAGACCCCTCTGTCAGACTGACAGACATCTTTCAGATTAAATAAAGTTTACCAAATAAGACAGGGGCAAATAAGCCCCTAAAAAAGACAGATTAAAAAGATTTAAAATATTGTAAAACAAAAGTTAAACAATAAAATGGCTAAAGAAACTAAATGAAAAAAAAAGAAACTACATGACAGTCAAGAATAAATGTGTCCATTGATGCTAACTCTTCAAATGCTTCCACTTCAAAGATCAATTTTTACAAAAAGGAAAAGAGGACCAACAAACTGAAAAGGTCTTACAAAACATTTAAGACATCTAACCTATTGTAGTTTAGGTCTTATTCAAAGGCATTCCAGAAATTAGGGTACTGGGGCATTAAAAATAGCAGAGAAGTGTTCCAAAAAAAAGAAAGAAAACCATCAATCGCTCATCTATTTAATGGAAAGAGAGAACATTAAAGAAGAGGATATGAAAGACCCATCTCATAACAGATCCAGCATGAGTCCTAAAAGAACTGTCCAGTTTTTTCACAAAGGAGACAGATTTCAAGTATAGGAAGCCATTCCTAATTAAACCCAGTATCATCCTATATAAGAAATATTCACAATTCCCTATTCTAGAAATTCTATACTTTTAACTCCAGTGGTTTAAGATGGCTTCACCTATAGTAGATGCCAACACAGATGTCATTGTCCCTTTCAACTCACACTGTCAGGCTTTTAATTTTTTGAGATGGGGTCTGCTTTCTAAGTGACCTCAAAATCCTGGGCCAAATAGCTGAGCAGATTAAAGCACCTGCTTAGGCAGATGCAGTGGCCGGGGTTAGATCCCTGGTGTGCCCTGCTGACTCCACCCCCATGCACGCAGAGACTGCAATTGAGACTGGGTGTGGTGGTGCACACCTGTAATCTCAGTTCTTCGGGAGACTGAACACAGGAGAATCACTAAGAGTCCGATCTACATAGTGAGACCCTGTAGACCCTTACTAAAATACAAAAAAAAAACCTCCTGGGCTTAAGAGACACTCGTGCTTCAATCTCCTGGGTAGCTGGGACTATAGGCATAAGCTAACTTACCTGCCTTTAGTTTTTTTGTTTATTTGTTTGTAGTACTGGAAATTGAAAGAGGGAGTACTAAACTACAACACCACTCCTTTTATTTCTTTAATCAAGACCAAGTTTCATTAAATTGCCTAGACTGGCCTCAAACTTGTGATCCTTCTGCCTCAGCCTCCATAATAGCTGAGATCAAAGATATGTGCCATCATGCCTGGCCCAGCCTAAAGTTTTAAATGGCAAACAGAATGGCTGGGGATGTAGCTGAGTGGTAGAGCAGCCCTGGGTTCAATCTCTAGTACAACAACCACCGGAACAACGAAAGTGCAAACAGAAACACTACCTCTGAAATGCAATTAAAAAAGCGATTCAAACCACAGCAAACTCACCCCAGATGTCCCTGTGCCCCAGTCCTTTGGTGCCACTGGGCACACAGGAGGCAGTGTGGTGCCGAAGGAAGACTCCTAGGTCATAAGGCAGAAAAGCTGGAGTTTTAACCTCTGCTGCTCATGAACAACCTCTGTAACTTTGGGCAAGTGATTTTCTTAGGTCTCAGTTCTCTCATCTGTAAAATGAGGGAATTGGGAACCAAATATCTCTAAATTATTTTTCTCTCTAGGATTTTTTGACTTTATAAAAATTTAGTAATTTTCTTCCAAAACTTAATCCTGTCCTGCAGTCATCATTTCTCCTCACTCTTCGCCACCTAAAGGCAGACATATATAAAATCATCTCAGTACATTGTTGTAAAAACCTCCCCAAGGATGGCGTCTTTTAAGTGTATGATGCATGATGCAACTAACTTAAATGAACTGAGCTTAATCATTCATCTTTTCCCTTTTGCCCTATACCAGTGAGCTATCAGTGTTGCATAAGCCTAAGCCTTACAGAAGTTGCTCAGTCACACAGGGGCCAATGAGAACAGGAGAAAAGAAAGTAGAGCAGACATGACTCCAATGTCCAATCTATTTCAATCAGTTATTTTCATTTTCGATCCGACCAGCATCCCATGCCCCCAGCCCTGCCCGCCAGGTGAGCTGAGCCAGCCGCTAAGACTGGGTATGGTGTTGTACACCTGTAATCCCAGCGTTGGGAAGGCTGAAAACAGGAGGATCACTAAGTGTAAGCTGCGTAGTGAGACCCTATACCAAATACATTAAAAAAAGGTTATCTTCATTTGATAAAATGATTAAACTGCTGTTTTTAAAAACAAAAAGCAACACTATTATAACATCACTAAAATTAAACCTTCCCTTTTTTTACCAATCCCAACATATACCAATGTACCTTAGTAGTTCTACATATCCCGAAACAGCATAGTATTCTTACTGTTTTTCAGGGCGCTGATAAATTCTGAACCACCTTTGTCCTTGAAAACAGGGAAAACATCTGGTTGAGGCAGCTGATTGGTGGTCAACAGAGCTTTTTGTAGTTTGATCCTTCCCTCCAAGAGCTGGTCCCACAGTGCTAAGAAAGAAGAAAACAGAATCTGACCTATGAGTTAGAATAAAATCTTCCCGAGATGGAGACAGGGGAAGGACAGGAAACCAGCCTGGTCTCTTTGGCAGAACCGGGAACTGAACTCAGGCCCTTGCGCTTGCCAGAGAAGCGCTTATTCCACTGAGCCATCTCCCTGGCCTCTCCAGCCTGGTCTCTAAGCAGCACAGCTTCATCAATTTCAGGCCATGGAAACACTCTCTATTCTGGGAAACACATTCAGTATCTTGGAAACAAGCATTTGTTAAGAGGACAGGAAATGCTAAAGCCCGAAGAAAAAACACTCTGGTCTTCAATCTTCCATAGTTGCTAGAGGTACTAGCGCAGAATCAGCTAAGCAGCTCAGTGCAGAAGCGGCTGGCTAAGCAAAGAGGAATGGGGCTTTAGGCCTCTCACTAAGTGAGGTGTGTCACAAAAACTAATTGGAAGGACATCCGAGAGACTGAACAGCCAAAAACAAACAAACAAGTAGACCAAAAGTAGAGACTCTGAAAAACAAGGGAACAGCAAAACCATGTACAAACCTATCTGGTTCTTCACAGCTCTTCCCTTTTCCACTTCCTCGGAAACCTTGGTGCTGGAGAAGGTCAGCACCACACCGTCATCTTCACTCCGCCTGTCTCCTCCGGCCCTGTCTCCCTCACTCTCACCCTCCAAGTCTTCTTCGCTGTCCCCTTCTTCCACGCCACTTTCTTCCTCTTCTCCCTCTTCACTGCTCCCAAGGTCATCCATTCCCTCAGTAAACTTTTCAAAGTCACTGACGCTCTGGAAACTAAAGCCTGGTGCTTCTGCAGAGCAGCTCCCACTCTTCTTCCAGGCTGGGCTGCTCCCTTCAGCATCAGCAGCATCCTGTTCCTCAGAAGCACTCAGGTTGTCCTCCTCAGAGTCCTCTAGACCCAGTGCCTCTGAGTCTCCATCTTCAGAACTCTCCTCATCAGATATTTCTTCATCTGAACCAGGAGGAAAGAGAGAAAAAAAAAAAAAAAAGGTGTTACCTGTATTAAAATATAAGACCATATCTATCATTTCAACTAAAGAACTACAGGCATCTATTACAGGGAAATTTTACTATTATATTCAATTCAACTTAAAAGTAATTATCCACCTACTATTTCTAAAATGCTAAGAGGGAGACAAAAATGAAAAAAAAAAACAAAGAGAAGAAGAAAAATGCTTTGGTCTAGAGCCCTATAATCCCAACACTCTGGGAAGCTGAGGCAGGACAACTTCAAGTTTGTGCCCAGCCTGGGCAAGTTAGCAAGATCTGCTCTCGAAAATAAATAAACAAACAAATAAATAAAAACCTAACCGGCTAGGGGTATAATTCAGTGCAGAGGTCCTAGGTTCAAACCTTTCTACTACAAAAAACAACAAACAAAAAACGCTTTTTCAATACAGTGGCACACCTCTAATCCCAGACATCTAGGAAGCTGAGATAAGCACATACCTGGGCCACTTGGTGAGACACTGTCTCAAAATTGAAGATAAAAAAGTAAGTAAGAAGTTCAGAATATAGCTCAGTGGTAGAATGTTTACTTATCACACATGAATAGGTTCAATGGCGCTATGTTCAATTTGCAACACCACATTAGAAAGATAAATACACAATAAAATAAAATTTAAAAATGCTTCATTAAAATTCCAGCAGCCCAGAGGAAAGTCAAAATTTAATTGTGGGGCAAATGAATTGAATTGAAGGGAAGGGAAGGGAAAAGAACACAAGAGAAGACAAGATAAAATAAAACAGTATAAGGAGCTGGAGACAGTGATACATGTTGTAATCCCAGCTAGTTGAGAGGCTGAGGTTGGAGGATTACAAGTTCACTGTTAACCTGGGCAATTCAGCAACAACAAGAGAATAGCAAGATTTTAAAATAGGTATTAGATAGCCAGAATATAGCTTATCATTAACTACCCCAAATGCACAATCTCTATCACACCACTGTACTCTGGGTTTTTCATTAAGTATCCATTATAAGGCAGGCATAAAGGCTAAGAAAAAAACCTCTATGCTTGTGGAAAAAAGAGTTCATGGTCTGACAGGAACAGAAGTTATGAATGCCGATAATTACATTGCAGCATCATCAGTACACAGTGTACAGAGATGTAACTGTTTAACTCTCCCTGGAAAGTGAGTGAGGCTTCATGTTAAGCAGACACTATGATTTTACTTAGAAAGCATAAGGAACAGGTCATCAGACAGAGGAGGGGGAGGAAAAGCCTAAACAGTGCTGACATACATAATTTTAATGAAGCATTTTTAGATTTTATTATCTATTTATTTATCTTCTTAATGTGGTGCTGCGAATCGAACTGGTGGCAGATGACGCTAGAGAGTTTCCAGGTAATCAGGCAAGGCCCTGTCTTCCTAAACTAGATCCGATCACAGACAGTGCTACCTACACCTGTGCTTGTCCTATGCTTGTGGCATCACCTGACACTGAAGACGCTTTTTATGTTTATCCAGTATTTTCCATGGTAAAGTATAAAACCTTCAGTCTAACAAGCATGATTATTAGATGGAGGTCCAGGTACCAACAACCTTCTTTAATAAAATACAGATTTTATGAAAACACAATGGGTCTTTGATACTTCCTTAAATAAATACACATACAACAAGACACAGCCAAGGCTGTCAAAAATATAAATAGGAAAACTGAAAAAAATAAATAAATAATCCTTTAAAGTTTTTAGGGGGCGGGGAGATAGCTCAGTAGAATAAGCACTTCCGTGGCAAACGCAAGGGTCTAAGTTCAATCCCTGGTTCCACCAAAAAATAAAATATAAATAAATAAATAAATAAAGTTTGTAAATGTATGCATGCTATTTCTTTTTTCTTTTTTGGGGGTGAGCCGGGGATTGAACTCAGTCCCTTGCGCTTGCCAGGCAAGTGCTTATTCTACTGAGCTATCTCTCTGGCCCCTCCTAGTCTAATGCGTGCCACTTCCCAAACTAAGAAACATTCATGGGAGACAGAAGAGAAAGGGAATGTAAAAAGAATTAAGACGTGTTATGTACATGTACAATTCCCTATGATAAATGCAATCATTATATACTGCAAATATGTACTACTAAGTTTTTTTTAAAACTCATATAGCTCAGTAGTTCTTGGAGTCAGAGTGCCTTCACTTAATAGTTCTTCCACTTAATAGTTGTATGACCTTCAGCAAGTTACTTACCAATTAGACCCCCCTTTCCTTATCTACAAAATGGGGGGAAATAATGCCAACTTCTTGGATTTTGGGAGGATTAAATGAAATGATACAGATCATGGCAACAGTGATAATATTTTTGAAAATGTACTGTATCCCAGATTTTCAGAATTTAAAGAACCATTGTGGCTGACGTGGTTAAGAGTTCAATAAATACTATCATATTCATCTCACGATTGGTCCCTTTATCAGGCTCTAGACAAAGAATGTGAAATGCGTTTATCTGGAGCTCCCAGAACTACATCAAGAACTAAGTCACAGATATTATAACCTGAATTATTGTTTCTTTTATATTATCTATGGTTTCTCAACATGGCACTCCTGCCCTCCCTAAGGAAAATAAATGGCATCCTAATAACCATATCCGACCCCTTCTTGAACTTTGAGAAAGGCACAATTCTCTTTGTTGTTACTGTTGTTTTTAAGATAGGGCCTTGCTATGTTGCTCAGGGTTAACTCACGATCCTTCTGCCTCAGCCTCCTGACTACTAGCATCACAGACACACACCACCACATTCAGCTGAGAAAACACAGTTACTTAAAACTGTAAATCCACATCCTCCTGTCTTACAGTAGTGAGAGAAGCATTCTGTCATTTTTACAGTGGCAAAAAGTGAGTTTCACAAATAACTGATACTATACAGTAAGTCAGTGTAAGATCTGAAAGACCAAAGGAAATGAGTCAAAATCCAAAAGGAGGACACTCATCAGACATTGTTTTAAACATACTACCTTCTCCAATATCCAATGCCTTTTCTTTCACTCCATTTTCAGGAGAATTTTTAATCTGTATATAACACCAAAAATTGATTCTCTGGGCTTGAGGTTCCTTATGAAATGAAAGGTCATTCCTAATACCAAATCAATGGTCTCTCCTAAGATAATAGGTAGAGACGTACAAACCTGCAGAAAACATATATATATAAAGGATTTTAACCGTAAAAATTTATGGGAAAAGTTCAATGCAAATACATCTACTCACCAGATAAACCTGGCAGAGTCTGCTCCCAGTGGTCTTCATTCCAAGCTTTTCTAGAGGTGGCCTTGCCACAATACCTTTTGTCTGTGTCCAAGAGGGAGGCAGATGCCAGTTTTCTAATGCTACCCACTGCCAGGAAATCATCTTCCCCATCTTCCCCTTCATCAAACCTGTCAATCACTCTGGCTGCTGTAGCTGTAGAGGAGGAGGAAAAGTAATCACAATCTAAAGTTAGAAGACACTTTAACGGGAATACTACCAAACCCTTTTAACTCACAATGTCCTCTGCAAAATCCTCACCAACTTCGGAGAACAGAAAAAGGATTTTCTCTCGAGGGGGACCACTGTCTTATTGCTGTTTCTGAACTCCCTCCTCGTAGTACCAGGTGTATTTCTATGCCCTGGATCCTACAAAATGAATCTAAGTCCTCTTCCATGGGTGACAGTCGCTCCAATATCTTAAATCAGACGTCAAGTTCTATCTTCACTCTGTCCCGGCCCTCAGTTTTCTTCCTTATCCTGGCTAACAGCCCCCAGTTCCCTCAACTGAATCTTCTAAGCTGCTGTTCAGCAGGCACATTATTATCCCTTCTACACACTTCTCGGACTCAAGTCTAAAGCAGGATTACTCCCAGCTAGAACCTGAACATCAGCTTACAGAGCAGTGGCGTGGTGTCAGCCTCTGAGCAAGTGTCTTGGGACCTAAAACGTTAAAACAGCGCCAGGGACCTCTACTTTTTCCTTCCTTCTCCAAGCAAGTTTCAGGTGCTACCTGAGTTTTTAAAAGCCGCTTCCTTCACCCTGAGAGCAGCCTGAAAGCTGTCAGCCTGCTGCCACTCTGTCACCCGCCAGCAGCCCACGGGCAACTTAACCAGCTGAGGGTCTGAGCTCCAAGTCTACAGTGAGTGTCAGAAGAAGGCGAAGCCCTCCTCCGAGCCTCGGGACAACCCCGGCGGAAGGGAATCTCCTCTGCGCCAGCAGTGGAGAAGGCCAGACCGTGAGGCAGCACAGCAGCCCATGCCGGCCCAGCCCCGACTAAGCCAGGCTGCACGTGGTCTGCCCCAGACAGGCCTCACCCTCCTCCGGGTCGGCCTCAGGATCCGCCTCGCGCGGTCGCGGGTTCAACAACTGTTCCAGCTGTAGAGCTAGAGGCTGCGGCCCCGCCATCTTCCCAGGTCCTGGTCGAAGCTGGGCATGCGAACGTGCGGTCAGTTCTCCGGCCAAGACGCTCTCTTCTGGCCGGCTCCCCTAGCCTGACACTGCTCCTCAGCACAGCCAGGGACCGCACAGAGCCGCGCGTTCAGCTCCCAGCCGGCAACTTCCGGGAGGCGCGCGCGACGGCGGAGGGCGGGGCCTGTGCGTCACTACGCGCGTTGCTAGGATAAAAGCGGAAGCGCGCGGTAGGGTAAAGGGATTGTGACCCTCCGAAAACGCGTGCGCGTGCGTGAAGATGGTGTATTTGAAGGCGCGGGAGCGCGCGAGGTCACGTGACCGCCTCTGGCTCTGAGCTTTGATTGCGTCGCGCGCAGCCGGTGCACCCTCGCACAAAATATGCCTCAAGCTTTGTGAGAGGTTCGCTTAGGTGTAAAGCATAGCATAGTAGACGGGGCTCAAGGTGGCTGATTTGGAAAAGAAGAGAGAATAAAGAGTAGGCTTTTGGAACCTCTTGTTTCGCACTCGGGCATGCAAAGACTGGGACGGAAAACAGATTTAGCATTTCACAATTTGAAGGAGTCTGGGACCGGGCTCATGCCTCCAGCCCCGAAGCAACAGAATTTGGGAATCCAACGTTAGAGATGTGCATATGTAAACTTGAAGCGAACTGTTGTTGTCTTCACTAATAGGAACAATTAGAAATCGCAATGGCTGTGCACAAATAAGGATAGTTTTTGTAACTGCTCCGAAAAAGGAGTAGGTTGGGGTTGTTACTGCACACTTCTCCGTATAAGCTTTCCCTGTTGAGAGATGAGGGCGAACTCAGGCACCTGAAATTGGTATACAAAGGCAAAAAAATCTCAGATCTGCCGTTAGGAGAGTAGCATATGAAGACTCAACAGAAATTTAATTTCATCCAGGCACAGAGAGAAATGCGTTTTCGTTCCTTCACTGAGCATTCCCTGACTGCCCACTGTGTGGCAGGAACTGCTAGATAAGATACAAGATGAGTAAGTTAGATTCTTTCCCCACAGTGATCAGCCTTGGGAGGAAGACAAGCATGTACATATAAACTGCAATAAGGCATGATAAGTGTGAGTGTAAAGTGCTCTATCCTTCCAGTATCCCTTGTCAAATGTCACCTATAGAGACCTAGAACCTGCTAAACAGAAAAATTGCCTCCAAAGGATCCAGGAAAAAAAAAAAAAAAAAAAAGCATTGGTGAGCCCCTGTAATAGTGTCCCTTTCTGAGTACAGTCTGGGCCACTTGGATCCCAGAACTGACCGATCTTGGCAACTCTTAATTCTCCAGTGTCTCCTGTGAAACCCAAAGGAAGAGATGGTCCCTGACTTTCAGTCTTCATATGCCCTCAGAGTCAAGTAATGAAAGGTTACTACTTTAATATGGCTTATCCCATGCCAGGGTGCTAAGTGGCTCTAGCATGAAGACAACCATGGCTACAGAGTGGAAGAAAAAGCTGTCTTAGGGTTAATCTCAGTTCAGGAGGGGAAAGAATGCCAGCCAGGCAGGGAACTCAGGCAGAGAAAACCCCATTTTACCATGTGTAAGAGAACTTAGGCTATGAGACCAGGGTTCTGTTTTTGTTTTTAATATATTTGTTATACTTGCATATCCATATTTGTGCCTGGATCTGAGCTCTTCAATCCTCTATAAGGTCCAGCTGTCCTGGGCTTCAGAAACCAAAACTGTTTTTCTACCTCACACTTAGTAAATAATCCCCTGTAGTCTTCTTCCATTGCTATTTTGGGCAATAACAGTGCTTAGAAATCTAGACTTCAAAAAAAAAAAAGGAAATCTGGCCTTCAAGGTAAGGGAAAAAAAGGGCCTGGGCAGGGCTAGGACCATATCTATACTATCATGCAAACTGGACACTGCTGGTCCATTTGAGGCCACACAGCAGAAAATGCCATAGAACTGTTTACCTACTTTCTCTTATCTGCCTTGGACTCTAGTGATTGGGGAAGCCTTTTCAGGAAGGAATCAAAAACTATCTAAGGTCACACAGATCCCAGGGTCCCCCAAAATGTTTTCTGCTTTGTTACTCCATATTGAGAGTTGGAAGAAAATTTCTGGAGGGGGGCAGAGAGAGAGAGAGAGAGAGAGAGAGAGAGAGAGAGAGAGAGAGAGAATTGTTAAATATTTGAGAGAAGTTGAGGCACAGGGCTGGGGATAAACTTCTCAAATGTGTGTTTCTCTCTCTCTTTCTCTCTCTCACACACACACACCCCACATCCTTCCTTAATTGTATTCTATATTTGCAGTGGGGGGGGGCTGCCTGCTTTTGGGAAGAGGTGGGATTGGAAACACTGAGTGGACTATGAGAAAGGGATATTTCAAAGACTATATCTCTCTACAATAAATTCCAACTACTGAATGCTTTAAAAATGAGAGCAGATGAGAAGAGCGGAGAGGTGAGAATAAATGTGAACAGTTTTCCAAAGCACAATCTCTGTCCTCTGGAGAAAAGGCAGGAGCGTTTTCATGTTCACAGTCACCCTGTCTACTAAGAGCTACAAAGTGGCAGGCAGAAGTAGTCATAGCAGAGGTGACATTAGATACCCACCCCCCCCACTGTCTGGAACTGTCTATTCTATTCACTTGACCCCGAGTTTCAAGAGTTGAGAGAAACAGGTTCCAATCTGCCTCTCTTCTAGGGTTCATCGAACCCCGAGTTCCAGCCCCAGGCAATGCCTTTTCAGGCTCTCCACCACACATTCCTACCTCACCTGTTTTGCACCAAAACAGCACCCCAGCCTCTGCTGCTGGGGGCGCTTGGATGCGTGCTCCCTCGTCCTCACAGATGGCCGCTCCTGCCACTGGAACCCCGAGGGCAGGTGGCAGCAGGCACGGAGGTGGTGGTTCTAAGATAGCCGAGGAGAAACCAAGCTGCAGGACTGGCTGAAGAGGAAGCCGCCCTCCTGGGTGACAGGACCGGTGGTGGTACTGCCCGGGGGCCAGCGCGTCTCTCTGCGGAGCCCCGTGCGGGTGGTGCCGGGCTCGCCTGCACCTCGGGCCCGAGGTAGACCAAGCTGTTGTGGCCCTCTTCCCCCCAGGCCTTCGGCTCCGATCTAAACCGCTGAGCATGACCACCTGTTCGGGTTTTAGCCGGGTCTGGAGACATCGCGCCCGGGGAGACACTGTGCCGCTGCCACCGAGTTCGAATTGAATCCACAACGCTTGTCCGACTCTAAAACGCTTATCAAATACCCCGATGCCACAAGAAAGCTGCTAAATAATTCAGGAGCGTTAGATAGAAAAATGCCGCTTCCTGATGAGTATAAGTTCAGTTATCTGAATGTCTTCAAGGAGGAGGGAGGAGGGAGTTGCGGCTGTAGTGAATAAGTTAGTTATGATTTAATATATGTAAATGCTAAGAGGACAAAACAATCCAGTGATTCCGTATAAAGCAGTTAAAGAAAATGCGCTGTATGCAGAAGCTAGGGATTTTAGAACTCTTTGTATTTTATAAATTTTTGTTTCTGAAAGAACACTGCCAGATTCCTCCCTGATTTCCCTCCCCATTAGCTAAGTCCTCATAGGGAAGCAGTGAAGTACTGCTTATTTTAAAGCTTTCTCTACAGGAAAGATAAACTTGGCCTTGTCCTAACAAAATATGAAAACAGTGCTGGAAATTATAGACTAAGTAATACAAAAACTTTTTAAATTTTTCAGAATTAGAAATAAATAATCCAGACTGAAATCTAGGTGATATGGAAAAGAAATTCTGAAAACCTAATAGCATTTGATATTAAAGCACACATACACCTACACACGAGTATTTTGCAGTAGATAAAGTATTCAAATTCTTTTCATTTCTAATCAAAGCTTGGAAGGGATTGAACTACTTTTCAGGACCTATTGGCCCAACTCCCAGTTGAAATTTGATTTCTATATTAGTTATTTTTGCTCTTCTTTCAGGGAAACTTAATATGTATCTCGTGCCAAGCAAAATAGTTTTCCTTCTGTGGAACTTCAAATGTAACAAATACTCTAAAATAACAATTTCATATCAGTTCTATGAAAGGGATTAAAGTATTTCATTTCTAGCTTACTGTACATTCATTTTATGTTATCTTTCAAGCCACCAAATTAGAAAGCAGGATTATCTATGAAAAATGAATTGAAACAGGAAAGGACCACCTCTAACTATATATTTACAAGTATCTGACATTCACAAGCCCGGTTTTGCATGTGCAAGGAGACAGGGAGAGAGAATGCCTTGAATCTCATCCCTAATCACAGACCGGGAGTACTCATTTTTAGCCTGGATTTGATTTCTATTTCAAATTCTATATTAACTTATCAGCAAATATCTCTTCACCTGTATCAGTTAAATCCACAGAATCCAAATCTGTATTTAATGACAGCAGGAAGCCACGGAGAAAAGCTTGCCTGATATTAGCAAAGGGGGTTCAGCCATAGTCAAGGCAAAAACAGATACATCACCCCAATCCTGGCTGTCTTCCTCTAGGCTTCTGAGGGCCCCATTCAGCACCCCATCAGGACTCCTCTCTAATTGCTAATAAAATCAAATACCACACCAATTATCTAAACATCAGATTTTCTATTTTTATTAAAAACGCACAAATTTATTCAACATGTTTTCTTTCATACAGTGAATGGTCTAATATGCACTGGAGGTCACACAAGCTTAGGTTTATTAGAACAATAAAAGACATATGAGAAATTTAATATATAAAGAAAAAAGTAGCAGCTGCTGACTGCATATTTGACCATAAAATTTAAATATTTTGGACTTTTATTTTAAAGACACAAAAATAAAACCTGTGTGGGTCTATATAAGTCATATTAACAATTCCATGAATGTTCAACAGGACTAAAAATTAGCAAAGATGTCTTGTTTTAAACCTTTAACACTTTTTTTAAAACACTTTCTCAGGTTGCTGGTGCCTGGCACCTTTACAGTATTTGTGCTATAATTATATTCTATTTGGCAACTGTCTGAATATCATGTTTTCTCTTTGCCTTGTGTAAACAACACCTTTTTACATACTAGCACAGTGAGCCCCAAGCCCTGCAAATCTGTCAGAACATCTACAGGAAAAGAAAAGAAATAATTTTGGTTGATTGCTCAAAACATTTTGCTTTCGAACAAGAGGTTTCAAAACAGGGTATCTTAGTAAAACACTGAACTCCTGAATTTAACATTATACGTAAACAGTTGACTGTTTTTAGTTCAATAGTCTTTTTTTTTTTAACTTTTGTGTGTGAAGGTAGAATACTTTTCTTATACAGCTGATGTTCAAGTCATTTTACTGAGGTCTGACAAGAGACCATAGATTGTGTGTGTGTGTGTGTGTGTGTGTGTGTGTGTGTGTGTGTGTGTAGAGCTTTGTGAAGGTAGAAGAGTTGATACTGAGGGCTTTACATTTAGAATTTTGCAATTTTGGCAAAACAAAAAAACAAAAACCCAGATAGACAAAAAATATATAGTCCCACCTGATGCACAGCAGGTCGGTGCTTCTGAAGCTATGAGTTTGTTGTCGCTGTCGCTGACCTCTGAGACAACGCTAATAATTGGTATCTCAGAGCCAGAGCCCGCCTGGCTGGCCCGGAGCGCCTGGCCGCCTCGTCCCCCTTGCCCGGCCGCGCGCCTCACCGCCTCCCTCCCCGCGGCTCCGGGCGTTGCCGATGCGATCGCCGTGCTCGCCAGCGGCTGTCGCGAGGCCTTTCTTTTCTGCCGCCCGCTGGCCGGACCACAGATCAACGGAGTCGGTCCACGGATCGGGGTCCAGGTGGAAGGTGGGGAGAGCTCTGTATTTTCCGTCGGGAGCTCCAGTTCTGCACCTTCCAGCCAGTGCGTAGATCCCAGTCCGACCTCGAGGCGGATTTGGATCCTACTTTATGACCCCCTTTTCCCATCCGGTTTCCCAGACCGCGAATGGTCCTTGAGGCTGGAGGAAGTGGGGCAGGTGGCTTGCTTATGTTTGTGTTTTTTGTTTTTTGTTTGTTTTGTTTTTTTTTTTTTCCTCTCTTAAATAAAAGTTCGCTTCTGTACAACCACGAACTCCGCGGACCGCCCTCCGCACGGGACCCCGCTACCACACGGCCGCCTCGTTCATTTCTGGGGGATGGGACAGGTGGTTCCCGTAACTCGCCCCGCCGTTTACCGACAGCGACGAGAAGGGCGGGCTGGGCCCGAAGACCTCAGCCGACATGGAGTGCAGAGGCCCAGGAAGGCTGGGCTCAGGGCTGGGTGAGTCCCCCGGGGGGTGCGCCAGGATGTCAGTGAACCGCTGCGCCTCGCTGGATGGGTGGTGGCCCGGCAGCGGGTGCTCCAGGCCGCCCAGCGGCGTCCCTGACGGTCCGGACGACGGCACGAAGGGAAGGTCCACGGGTGTCTGGGCCTGCGAGGACGGGGGGCCTTGCGGGAAGAAGTCGTAGTTGCCACCTGGGCCGTAGTACTCGCTCTGGTAATCTGCAGATCGGCAGGGAGGAGGCTGTCAGGCGGCCGGAACCACAGGGTGGAAAAGGCGAGCCCGAGAGGAACATTGAGGGGAAGCGGGCACGCAGGTAACTAGCTGTTTTGGGGGCGCCCCTTGGGTCTGAGAGCAAAGAGCAGACTTTGTGCAAAGCAGCAGTGGCTCCCTACCCGCCCACCTTCTCATCCAAGGCCCAGAACCTGGTCCTGGGTCTCACCACCTCCCCAGCCTCCGCCCTTCTCTCGGCCTCTTCACTTTCCCACAAAAAGCGAGGGGCGCTCCCCGCGCTGCCACCCGCTTCCAGCGAAGCCCGTCACGGCCTGGCCGCGCGCCTCGCCACTCTGCCGCGCACCCACCTCCGTAGAAGGAGAAGGGGCCGTTAGGGATGAGCTCGCCCGGCTCCAGGCGGTCCACGAGGGGCCGCATCCGGCGCGGACTGCGGAAGAAGGCGTGACGCCGGGCGCCCAGCGCGCTCAACTGCTTCATCCTCCGTTCCTTGGAGCGCCGGTTCTGGAACCAGACCTGAAGCACACACACCAAAGAGGGTGAGGCCACGGGGACTCCACCCTGGGTGTGCAGAGCACCCAGCCAACCCTTCATTCATCCACGCTGACGAGGAAGGGGTAAGTTTGGAAGTGGTAATGAGCAGGTAATGTTCTTGGATTACCTGCTTTGACAGAGACCTAGACAGGCTGCCTTGTCCAAAGTGAGGCAGTCACACTGTCACAGTTACAGCTGCTCTGGGCTGTACACACAGACGCTATGCATCTCCAAAATAGTGTCACAAATACAGCTTTCCTATCAGTCCCTTGCAGTGACCACTCCCCAACCCCATGACAGTAACAGACACAGAAAGCCTCCTGCTGAAATTCAGCTTCCCAAGCGTAGTGACATCAAATTCCATAAGGGTGGCCTTTCACACCTACACACAACATCCTATCACCGATCACTTATCCTCAGCTTCTCATAGATAGTGACATAGTGATAGTTGTGACCCTGACATACAAACCTCACGCTCCTGTGCACAAGTCTGGACAGGGTCTAGAGGTCTCACCCCCATCCCACTGAAGGCCCTTTGCACACTTGCAAAGGCACACTTGGCCTCCCGCCTATACCCTGGCACACCCAAGGTGCCCAACAGGCATCTCGATCAGGACACCCATCATTGGGCAGCCTGAATCCCATAGTCTCACCTCCTCACAAGGCCCAGGCCGGGTGCCTCCACATGGCCCCTAATCTTCATCAAACCAGGGTCTGCACCCAGGCAGAGTTGACTGCTCACTCAACCACTGCCTCTTTGATCCAGGACACCCCATCAACCTTTGGATGGCAAGTCTCCGATCTGGGGCTTATGTAACCATGGCAAGAGACCCATCAAGTTGAAGTTGAAAACTTAGAGATCACATGTAGAAGATGAAGGAACTGATTGTGTCTGGTGCCTATAGTGACTTCTCTGCTCCTTCCTAACAAGGGTAGGATGAGAATGGCCGATTGTGTACAAAAAAGAGGGGTAACTTTTTGTAGCATTAGGCATAGCCTCCAGCTTTACACCCAGTTCCCCACGAAGCAGCTCTCCCTTCCCCTCTAAATCTCTACTATCACCAGTATTGGGCTGCTAGAGGGATTTCCAGCGGCCCTAGGCAACAAGAAATGTTTCCCCACTGCCACCACCACCACTACAAGCCTCTACAGACTCCCTGCTCCCAAGTCTAGTGGTCCCAGGCTTGGAGTGGGTGTGCTGAATAGCCTGTGGTCCTCTGAAGGACAGAATGGCACACCAGGGCTGACCTGGATGACTCGCATGTTGAGGCCGGTCTCTTGTGCTAGCTGCTCACGGATGTGTCTTGTGGGCTTGGGTGTAGCGGCAAAGGCAGCTTTTAATGTCTCCAGCTGCTTGGCTTTGATGGTAGTGCGAGGTCCCCGCCGCTTGGCACCCAAGTTCTGGTCATCATTCTCATTGCTGCCACCTTCCTTATCAGACACATTTGCGCTCTCAGAGTCCTTGGCATCGTCCTGCGATGGGTCTTGGGAATCCGGAGACAAACTGGGGTCACTGCCCGTGGTGGCTGCGGGAGAAGGAAGGGAACAGGTGAGCAGGGCCCACAGTGGGCCTTCCTCCCGAAGGACCCACCCACCCCATAGCCAGCCGGGAGTCGGGGCCTCACCCGAGTGAAGGCTGTTCTCTTTGGCGACACTGCTGTTACTTAGGTAATCCTCTTTGCAGACAAACTTGTTTTCATCTATGATGTAGAGCTCCTCACCAGTGGAAAGCTGCTTGTTACACATCATGCAGGTAAAGCAGTTAAGGTGAAACACTTTGCTTCGAGCCCTCCGCACCAGGTCGCTAGGGGATATGCCCTGCGCGCAGCCCGCGCACTTTGTACCGAAACATCTGTAGCGGGTGAAGGTTGGGGAGGGATGGGGGAGACAGAACCAAAGAAAGATAATAGAAGAAAAGAAGATTTAAACGGAAGAAGAAAGCAGGGCCAGGGAGGGAAATGAGAGATGAGAATGGGCAAGAGAGGCAAAAGCCAATTAGGCAGATGAGAAGGCAGGATGAGGGAGCAAAGAGCAGCAGGAAAGTGAGAGAGGAAATGCACAAGGTTAGTGCCGGGGCCTAAGCTGACACCTGACCCTAGCCTCACTCCTGAAGTTATCCCAGGGAAAAAAGTGTTGCTGAAGAGAGCGGCAGGCACGGTGGTGATTGCAGCAAGAGTGGTGGTGCAGACAAGGTACATTTATTTTCTGATTAGATTTAGAGAAGTCAAAATCGAATTAGCATGTCATGTAAATGCTCCCCAAAAGCTGTGGTTTTCTCTGCTAGGCTTTGCCTGTGTTACCACAAAAGAACCAGTGCATAGGCTAAGGGTTTTCGAGGTTAGGCTGGGCCACTGGTAAATAAACACCACCGCACCAAGTCCGGTAGTTGTAATCGTAGTTGGGCTGCTGCCACGTTTATTTGTGCCCAAAACTGGCAGATTGGAGCAAGCAGGAGCTGAAGAGCGGCTGGGCAGGCTTTAGGCACCCTGCCGAGCTTTGCAGCAAGCCAGGCCTCAGGGGCCCACTGGAAGCAGGTATGGCTCACCACTCTGTGGCTTGGTACCAGTCTTTAGAGAGGAAACCCTGTGGAGGCTCTGAGACTCAGCCTTGCCACAGTAACTATGTGTACAGCACTTTGCTGCACTATACTCATCAAAGCTGACCGTGGCATGGTGGAATGACACGGGAATGCTTGGCTGGGCCTGTGGGCAAAGCATTCCTGATAGCTTTGGACCCCGTCCCCCCCACCTCCATTTTGATCTGTCACCACAAAATGAGAGAAAGTAGAGACTTTCTCAGTGGAGTACAGTGGGACATTTCAAACCCTAACAGTGGAATGCATTTGCGCTGTTCTCTGTTGACTTGTTTGTGTCGATGGTGTAGCCGAATGAATTTAAGAAAAGTATAATTAAAATGCTAAATAGGAGAAGGGAGTAGAGATAAGTCTCCTAGCTCCAAAAAGCCAGGTCTAACAAGGTGGTGGCAGCCCTGGGGGGACATCGATTGGAGGGCTCCAAGAAGGAGCCCATCCCTGGAAGCCCAATTCTGCGCTGGGTTGTGGCTGAACTGCTTGCCAACCTCTGCAAGTCCAGCAGCAAGAAGCAAACTCAAGGCACTTCACAAGCTCTAGTGCAGCAGTTTGCCCAGGTCTAGTTGCTTAGGAGCCAGTATATGTTTCAAGAAGGCTCCTGGGTGTGCAAGATTGATCTTGAGCCCAGTATCTGGGTAGGAGGCAGAGACTCTCTACCCAAAGGCTCCATCCACTGTTCTCACCAAGACCATTGCAAAAGGCAATGCCTAGGAGTGAGCTCAGGTTTCTAAGCTCAGCCTTAAGGGTCAAGCAACCCCACAGGCCAGGAGAATGCAGTTGGTGGAGAGCTGGTTTGGGGAAGGCTGGAGTTAGGAACCCCCCAAGATAGCTTATCTCTTCCAAGCTTCAATGGTCTTCTGAATGGAGGCTGACTCAGACCCTTTCTTCCCTGGCATGTGCAGTCAAGCCTGGACCCATACTTTCCAGAATGCAAGTAAGGCTGCTACCCCAGGCTCCCAGTGCACCAGCTGTTGGAGAGACAGGCAGGCACCCAGAGACTTGGTTGCCCTCACTTCCAGAGGCAGCTCCTAACACTGCTGCCTGAGCCACGCTGACCTCTGATCTTAAGCTGACGGGAAAGGCCCTCGGGAGGGAGCAGCATGGGCTCAGGTTAACTACTCACCGGAAGAAGTCGTTCTTACAGTAGAGCTTGCCTTCCCGGGAGAAGCACTTCTCGGTCAGGTTGCATTTACATTCACAGCACTGGACGCACTTGACATGCCAGGCCCTGTCCAGCACATTCAAGAGGAAGCGGTCCAGGATGGGCCTTTTGCAGCCAGCACAGTGCACCATGGTCTTTGGTTTGGTCAGGAGGCCCGGAGAGACAGGGGCAAGTAGAGCCAAGGGAATGACTCCCAAAGACGACTGGCACCAGCTCCCCAGTCCCTCCAAAAAGAGGAGACACACTCCGCCTTGCAAGCCAAAACCCGCACCAGGAAATCAAAAAGGGGAAAAGAAGGCGTAGGCAGGACACTGGATAGAGGACGACAGCCTGGGAGTCCCAGGGCCCCGGGACTGAGAAACGCCACCTCGGCTTCCTGGGTAAGGAGAAGGGGCCTCAGGCGGGCAAGAAAGGGACTGTTCTGCCCAGAGCCGGTGGAGGAATGATGGTCACCGAGAACGGCAGAACGGCGGCAGGAACGGAAATAAATAAAACGGAGATGTAGAAGAGGAAGACACCGCTAGCTCGGATTGCGCGGAATGCGCCGCTGAGTTCTCTCCGGCTTGAGGTAGAGCTGTCAGAAGTCAAAGTGCATCTGCTTTTGCCGGGGTATGAAGGCGGGTGTGTGCGTACCTGCCTACCCACCACCGAGGTTTACCCCTCTTTTTTGTTGTTAAGAAAAGAAAACGTGTAGAGAAGCTTTGGATTCGAAACTGCCCGTGGCGTGCGGCGGCGCGGGTGCTGGGCCTGGGGAGGGAGCGGGGGGGAGGCCGAGGGGAGTGAGAGGGAAGGCAGGACTGAAGCAGATCTTGGTGGTTATTGCTTAGGGGTTTTCCCCCCTTTTGGAGAAGTGTTTGTGTCAACCGAAAACCGGGAGGGACAACTTCGGGCGCACTCTGCCAGGCGCGCGCTCTCGCTCCCCACCGCCCCAGCCCAGTCACCTCGGCCAGCGGCCTGCCAGGCGGCCTCTGTGTCCTCGGGGCGGCCCTCCCGACGCCTGGACTCCTTGGGGGAGGCAACACGGTCCGACTCTTCAGTGCGCCTGGCCTTGCATCGTGGCTCCAGTCACAAATCGCGGCTGCCTAGACGCGCAGCCCCGCATCGCTCGGCCCACGATCCGGCTGCCTGCGTCCAGCCCAACAGGCGCTCGACTTTCTTCGCTTTTCCTTTCCCCCCTCTTTTCTCGTTGTGGAGGCAAATCTGGACTTTCTTTTTAGTATCCTTCTTTCTCTCTTTTTCCCTTTTGCAGCGGGAAGAGTCGAGGGGAGAGGGCAGCTTGTAAAGCTTTAAAATAATGTCCTGGCGCAGCAGCCACTGTAAACCAGAGTCTGGAACAGTTCGGCGCGTACCGCCGCTCTCGCCGACCGGGCCGCAGCTCCTCGCTGGCTCTCTCTGGACCCGCGTCCCTCGGCTTCTGGTCTTCCTGGGTCAGTCCACCGCCTTGGCGTGTCTCTCCCTAGCTCCAGCGGCTCGGTCACTGCTCCTGGCTGTTGGCTGAGCTCTGGAAGCCCCCTCGCCTTAATGCAGCGCCCGCCGACGTCACGGAGGCCCGCGACCAATCAGCGCCTCGCGGTGCCTCTGTAAACCATTCTGCATCCTTCGGCCCGGGAGAGTGCGGGGAGACCGCGTTTAGAGGATCAGTGGCGGCGGCACCCGCGGCCCCGGGCGGCGCGGGCGACCAGCTGCAAGGTGCTGGGCCCCCTCCTACTCCGGTAAGGCCTCGGTTTCGGTGGGAGGGACTGAAAGAGAGACAGAATAGGCGCCGCCGGAGGCCAGAGTTCTGCTGGAGCGTAGGGTGATCCCAGACCAAGCAGGTCTAAGGTTGGGGTGCAATTGGGTACGGGAACCCGGGAGACTCTGGTGCACTCCTTGACTTTGCAATTCTCCGGGTGTTGGCATGTTATTTTCTTGCTGCTTTAGCCTGAAAGTTTTGCCCTAACACAGAGCAAATCCTTGGAGAGGTAGGGGGCGCTTGGCAGCTAAATCTCCCTACACCGGTCGTTTTGAGCCCCCTCCCCCAATGCATCCAAAGTCCGCTGAGTCCGGGTGTCCGATCGGGATGTCGGTCTCCCGCCGTGCGCGCGTTCAGAAAGTTGACTCCAGCTGTTTCCTGGTGGGGGAGGGGCAGGCCAGGGCCGCGGCGCCAGGGTGGGGGGAGAGGAGTGGGTGGAGAAGCGCCTCGGGTGAGGAGTTGCAACCCTGGCGCGAAGTTGTGAGAAAATTGTGATCCGGAGACGCCTTTTACAAACAAAAACAAACGACTAGGCGGGAAGCCGCGGGGCTCCGGCAGCTGGGGGTGGTGGTAGTAGTGGCAGTAGGAGGGAGAAGGAAGAGGAGGAGGAGGTTCCCAACGGCTATTCAGAGGGGCTGCACTAGAGAGAGGTGTGCAGCGAACTGGCAGGGCGCGCTCCAGCTTCCAGTCTTCCCTTCTTCAAGCTCCAGGCTGCCACCAGCTTCCCCAAACAACAGCCAACCATACCTCGCAGAGGTCACGCCTTAGGTGACACAAACATCCCTAATTCCCTCCGGGTGTAAACTCGCGCCCGCTGAAGCGGATATATCTAGATGTGGGGGTCGGATCCGCTCCCTGAGAACCCCAGCATCCATGCATTAATCTGGTTCCCTGGCGCTCTCAAGTCAACCCTCAAATTCCGTTATTACTGCACTTTTCTAGGATTCAGCCAGATTTTTCCCATGTAGAGTTCGAAGGCGACAGGGCCAGGCCCGGGTGGTCCCACTTTTGCTCCCCGTTTCTTTTTCGGGCTGTGTACTGGGAGGGTTTAACAGCTTCTAATGCAGAAGGAAGTGAAGGAGAGAGGCCCTCCAGGATTAGCCGGTTGTTTGAAACTGCCCTTTTGATCACCTTCGCTAGTCAAGTGAAGCCTTTCAGAAACGGGTAGAGACTTAGTTAAGGGAAATGCACCAAAACCGCAGTTGCAGCGAATCTGGGGTGGCAGGGAATCTGGCTCTGCAAACAGACTACCCTCTTCGAACGAACTGGGAAGGCGTGGGAGCGAGTTTGGCTGGCGTTCGGCAGGATCTGGAGCTCTGCCAACGCCCCTGCAACCCCGAGGCCAGCGCGCAGCGCCTGCCTCATCGCCAGCGTTCCTTTTCGTTGGAAACCGAAGTCAGCCCGGCCGCCCGCGCGCCTCCTTGGCGTTCTGCCCCACCTGCCCGGACCTCGGGGAGCCCGGCTTCTAATGCCGTCGCTGCACCTTCTTGCACTTACACACCTGGGTGAAGGCTCCCTGCTGCGGGCCAGGGCAGAGCAGGGGCTAGATAATTCGCGCACCAATCCCTTCGCCAGTCTTTCCCAGGCCTGAGCTTCGGGCAGCTCAAGTGATGAAGGATGCGGTTTCCCCACCGAGCAGGCGGGCTCTGCGGGCTCGGACTTGGCTTCGCGCGCTCCCTGCGGACCCGACACTTCCAAGAGCAAGCCTACTGACACCAGCACCATCTGAGGCGCTAAGAGCGGCGTAACACGGGCTCCCGGTTTCCCACCCGGCGGACCCGGAGGCGGTGCCTCCTACGCCGCTGAGTTCGATGAATCCCTAGAGGAAGGGCCAGTGCGGCTGGACGCTGCTCCCCTCCCCCAGTGCACTCGCTCGCAGCTAGAGACCTCCACCGAACCGCCGCTTTCTGGGGTCTATAGCAGCCTGAGTCCCAGGTGGCTGCCCCCACCCCACCCCAGCTGGGATCCTTCTCATGCAAAGCAAAGGGGCCAAGGGGGTGGGGGGCTGGCGAGAGGTTGCAGGAGACCCACAGGGCGACAGCTGGACTTGGCTGCTGGCCCTCTCCAAACCTGAGCCCGGCGCTGTTCTTCGGTGGGCAGAAAGAGGTGGTTTTGTCCGTTTGTGGGTGCAAGGACTGCAGGACCTAGATGTGGGGAAAAGAAGACCCCCCCCCTTTCCCCCAGCGGAGGGTTTAGCGTGGTAAGGGAGTTGGAGCAGGAACGGTTCGATGGCTCTAGGGCTCAGGGCTCTGCTTGGCCGGGTGTCCAGATGGCATAGTAAACAAGTTCTCAAAGCCAGTCCTGGCGTCAACAAGGGGCTGGAGGAGCGCGGTGCAAGGCTCGCTCCTTGGCTCCTGATTCTAGGGTTACAGTCCAGATTTAAAGTCTCCACCACAACGGCACACAGACTCAAGTTTTTACCCGCTTCGTTTCCATTGAGCTTTTATTTTTAAAATATAATCAGTAGTGTGATGTGGAGAGAAAACTGACTCAGGTTTCTAAATTTGCCATCTCGGAACTATTTCCTTTCAGCTCTGCATTAAACTCGAAAGTTCCTTCATGCACCAGCAATAACCTGCTTGCTCCACCTCTACCACCATACTGTCCTGGTCACTCACAGTTCCAGTCCTCAGGTACACAGCCCTTTCCTACCCCAATTCCTTCCTTCAGAGCCACACAGACACAGACGCTTGTCACGGCTCAAGATGTGTGAATTCTGAGCCCGTGCTGGGAGGTTCAATCTGGAGGCAAAGCTATTACTCTGTGGCCGAAGAATTCTCAGCCTCACTCCCATGACACCCTCTGAAAAGGCTCCAGTGAGCTTGGGAAGTGGTTTTCACATTTCCAGTTTTCTCTTCTGAGAAGCTCCCTGACAATCAGCCAGAGAAGAAAGACCCTTTCTGGGAAGGGGGATGGATACAGTATCTGCTGGCTGTCCTCTGGCAGCCTATTTGGGGGCCAAACACACCTCTCTTGCCCCCTTTCCTCTGGTGGTCTCCTTGGTCAAGCCCCACTTATTCCTCGATGGTTGAGTAACCTGAGCAGAGCAAGGACCCAGCCTACCTAGCCTCTGTCAGCTAATATTGATCCCGGAGATGAAGCCACCCATGGCCACTTCTTTTCTATTCCTGCTCATCTCCAGCTGCTACCCCTAGAAAAGGCCTATAAAAGTAGACCCTTGGGGATATCCTGGCAGTAGGAGGATACCGTATTGTGAGCGGTAGAAATTGGGTGTACCAAGTCACCTGGAGAGAGGAAGGAAGAAACTAACCCACTGCACCCACATGCAAACTCTGCACAGACTCAAAAGAGGACATGGCTTGGCGATGAATAGAACTGTTAGGCTGCAGTCTTTTGGTTCTGATACCTGACCTTTTCTCTCTCCTGGATCAGGCTGCCTTAATCTCACCCCATCACTCTCTTATGAAAAGATCTATTTGGTATTTTACTATTATATCACTGTCTCCCCTGAACCACATAATAAGGGGGTCAAAGATGGGGGAGCAGATGGGTGATAGTCACTTTCTTGGATAGAAAACCCAAGTTAGAGGGCTTGCCTAAGATCAGTGCTCTATTAAGGTGTGAAGGTGCAGGGGAGGGGAGTGCACCTTGTTCTTGTGGGGTGTGTACTTTGCTTCTGGCCGCAGCTTGCAAGTGAGCTTTGGGCACGATGGAGGGAAATGGAGATTGAGAAAGAGCAGCAGCAGGCCAGGTGTCACAGCAGGACTAGGTAAAGGACATTGGCTTCCCAGGAAGGCTGGAAGGACCCTAGGGGTGGAGACCGACAGGTGCAGCCACAAGCTTGACCCACAGTGCCGAAGAGCAAAGACTGGACATGAGCAGTCTTGAAGGGAGAGGGTGCCCTGTAGAAAAGCACAAGTGAGGAGAGAAGAGAAAATCGAATCAGGGTAGGAAAGCTGAGAAAAGGAGAAGCATAGAAAAACCACACAGGTATGAAGGGAGTAAAGATATGTCAGGAGAAATTAGTGGAGCAGTGCAGTAAAACAAACAGAAGAGACCCAAGAAGACACCTAACAACAAAAAGGCAGCAAGAAGAGGACCGTGGGGCTTCCAGGTGGGCTTCTGTCAGGACCAGAGGGTATATGGGTGTGTGACAAGCAAGGGAAAAAAGGAGGCAGCGTGTTTGGTGGGAGACTCAGCTCCCGTGGAAAAGCGTGTATGCAGTTCTGGGCAGGAATCCAACAAATAAATAAAACGTCTAAGACAGCGTGACAACAACGTGTATTTGGGTGCTTGCCCATGTTCCTCTGTCTGAGCACACACTCACACCCGGTAAGGAAGACAAACGGGGCTCATGCCTGGGAGTAATTAATCCTCTCACTAATTGACTCTCTCCCCTTACCTAATGGCAGTGGTCACCGCCGATATCTGGAGAGATATCAAGTGAGAAAAGAGAGAGAGAAGGACAGAGAATCACCCCAAAGCTAATAACCTTTGGGACTGAGATTGAATTCTTTCAGGATTTGGCAGCGTTAAGTTCTTTTCCTTGCTTCTTCCTTTTTTTTTTTTTTTTTTTTGTTGGGGGGAGCTTTCAGTTCAATAGATGTTGCTGCCTTGCTCTTCCAGGTTTGGGCAGCATTAAAAAGGCCTCTCAGATGAGGCTGGCCTGGCCACACACACACACACACACACACACACACACACAGAGCTGGGCGGCTGAAAGCCACCTACTGCCTCTCTGCTGGGCGCCTTCTTCAG